TCACTACACACATCAGGGGTCCACCGGAGCCAGCTCCCTCCTCCCAGCCTGCGCCCCTCCGACACCTGTAGACACCTGAGTGCTGCTCACCTTGGAAAGCAAAGGAAGGAGAGCACTGTCTTCAGCAAAGCTCAATGGAGAGAGGCAGCAAATCTGTTTCAAAAGAAACCACACAGTACCTCTCCAAGCCGATGTGATTAAAAAGAAGCACGTACCGACTGCCAGCCCTCTGCTACTGTCATAAATAATGAGCTTCTCTGGTCAAGTGATCTATGTGAGCAGAGACTTCAGAAGGCTTCTGATTTGTCTTTGCCAGGTGCTTCTCAGGGGACAGGGATGCTTGGAGAACGTGACAATGGAATCTGTATTCTCCTGAGAAAAAGGCTGTGTATTTAACTTTAATCAAGGATGGGTGTTTCTAAAATGGATTTAACATTATATTCCACTGTGTTCCACCAGGGTAGCAGTGCTTTGTTACCTTGTGCCTTTGCTTTAAAAGCCACCTGGCTGCCACCTCAGCCCCTGGAAATCTGCCTTTGTTCCGTGCTCGCTTTCCCGTTAAGGGTTTTTTCAGCTGGCAGAGTTCCAGGTGCCCTGTGGACTAATTGGCACAAGGTGAACATTTTCCAACTTGGAAGAGAAACGGCCTGTTCACCAGGGAAGGCTCTTCAAGGTAACTGCTCTCTGAGGTTCCTGCCACCGCCTTTGGCAACCTCGGGGACAAATCCTTCTTGCTGTTAGGAGCAGCTAGAAACTCACAGATGGGAAAACAGAGCTTGGGGCAGACTTGCTGAGACCTTTGAAACCAGTGACCTGTGGGGATGCGGAAACGGGGGAAAGGCTAGTGCGGGCAAAGGCAGCTGGTGTTTTCTTTCCCAGACAAGCTCTGCAGCTCCGTATGCTGGTCGTGATGGTGGCTTCCACTGCCTTCCTGTCCCCAAGAGCTTCAGCCCTCCCAGGAAAAATGGTGGCTTCTGAGAGTGAGGTTCCGACAGGAGGGCGGATGCGTGAGAATGAGGAAAGAAAAGAGAGAAGTCCTCCGTCACCTCTTCCCTCCCCTGGTATGAGGAAAACCCAATGGGTGACAAAGACAGCAGGTTGAAAAGCATGGACATAAAACAGAAGGGATACTTTCTGTGATTCCCCTTCCCAGCTGTGCTTTGGAACTGGCAGTAACATTTCCATTGTTTCCTGTTGCTGTGGGCAGGGGTGACTGTGGGAAACTGACAGGGTGGAGGCCCGTGGCCTGCTGAGGTTAACAAGAGGGATTTCTGCAGGACCGGGACTGAGGAGAGCCCAGGCGGGACTGTGGCGCTGGTTTTTTCCCGTGTGGTCACATCCTGGTCCCGGCAAATGACAGGAGGAGACAGCCACAATGGCTCAGGGTGAAGAAGTGGAGGCCAAGCCGAGGGAAGTACTGAAGGGGTGAATGGCTCCACACGCATGTCTTAATCATCAGGACAAGCAAGCCCCTTCTGCTGCCCTCTGGACAGACTCCCGGATGGCGGGGATGGTGCACGAGAGCAGTGGCGCCTGTTTTTGGTAGGAGGCAGGCAGCAAAGGGCATAAATGCATGGGGTTTGGAGTGACTCTCTGGGGTGAATCCTAGTTCCAGCCCCATGGGCGGCTGTGTGAACTTGGCCAACGTCAGCTTCTCTGCACCTTGATCTCAGCTGCAAAAGCAAGACAATAGCCGGGAGTGGTGGCGTACACCTGTAGTCCCAGCACGCAGAGCCTGAGGTAGGGTTACTGCTGTGAGTTCGAGGCCAGCCTGGATACATAGCAAGTTCCAGGACAACCTGAACTGCCTAGTGAGATCTTGTCTCATTAAAAAAAAAAAAGTAAGACAATACTAACTCTAACACCTTCTTCAGAGGGTAAACATAATAACATGTCAAGAGCACCTGAATGTTACTCATCACTACTACGGTATCACTAACAACACAAACTGTGCCACAAACAGCCTAACACTCCGCGGTACTGATGCTACCCGTCCTCCCATCTCCGGATCTGCAGAAAGCAGTCAGGTCCTGGAGCCAGGCACGCTCCAACACAGTCCCAGTCTGCCCCTGCAGCTGCATCACTCTGGGCAAATGACTTAGGCTCTCCGTGAACGAGATGGATAACACCTCCCCAGGGGGACTGCTGTGAGGGTGAACCAACCTGCCCGAGGCCTGCCCGTTGGGTGACATCGAGAGGCAACGGGGTGCTCCTCCCACCCCGTTCTGCTGCCATGCCATCCGGGGATTCTGAAGCTCTCTGATCCGGGACACCACGCACCCCCCACATCCGGGTAGCTTCAGCTGGAGTTTGACTCTAGGAATTGTTCCCATTGGGTCATCTGGGAACCAAGTGGCCTCACCTGGGTGTCTTGCGGTGTGGCTTGGCTGGGCCGTGACAGGAACCACACCGTGTCAGGTCAGCAAAGACAGTTGTTTTGAGACTTGCTGGGAAACCTAAATTGGCCAAACTGGAATAAATTAAGTGAAACTCATTTGTTATGAACCAAATGCTCCCATTTCCTCCGGCTTTGGGCAGAGCGCCATGAGGCAGTTCCTCCCCTTCCCCCAGACATTCCCAAAGGCTTTCATCACCGAATGCTACGTGTGGTGTTTACTCCTACGGGATGCCAGGCTCCATGTGGACCCTCCAGAGCCTCCTGTCACCATCTCACTCCTTTCTCCTCCATGTGACAAGAGCCACAGTGACCAGGAGGACGAGCGGACAAGGACTCACGCAGACCCCACTGCCACAGTGAAGTCCAAGGAGTGGGGACGACGGCGGGGTCACCAAGGGGGTGAGAACAAGAGCAGCCATGCTGACCCAGGGCTTTGCAGCTGTTGATTCACTTAATTATCACCCGCCCGGCTGAGACTGTTATTCTACTCCTTTTACAGATGAGGAACCAGAGCTGAAGGAAGCCGAAAGACCTGTCCCAGGATGACACAGGTACAAAGTGGCAGTGCGGAGATCTGAACCCAGGCAGGCTGGCCGGAGTCTGCACTCTTAAGTAGGGGTTGAACTCAACCCTGCTCTTGCTAGGCAGGCGGCAGCACCACTGAGATAAATCCCTGGCCCTCAACTATGTTTTTAAATGGGAGTCCTTATTTCTTAGAGGTGCATACTGAAGTATTTATAGATGAGATAACATACAAGAATGAACTCAAAATAGTTGAGAAATTTGTATGGAAGAGAGAAAGTCAGAACTCTTGGAAGAAAACACAGGACAAAAGCTTCGTGGTACTGGAACAGCAATTATCTTTTGCATATAACTTCAAAAGCACAGTCAACAAAAGAAAAAAAAAGACAAACTGGACCTCAGGAAAATTAAATAGTTTGTATTTTAAGACACATTATGGACTGGAGGTGTAGCTCAGTGGTGACATTCCTGTCTAGCATGGGCAAGACCCCGGGCTCAATCTCCAGCACTAGGGGGAAAAATACATTATCAGCAGAGTAAAAAGGTAACTCACAGAACAGGGGAAAATACTTGCAAATCACACATCTGATATGGGGCTGGATATTCAAAACACAGAGAACTCCTTAAACTCAAAAGAAACAATCTTTTCAAAAAGAGAAAAGGATTTGAATAGACAGTCCTCCAAATAAGACACACACATGGTCCCTGAGTATGGTGGCACACACCTGTAATCCCAGCAGTGGGGAGAGAGGCTGAGGCAGGAGGATCACTGTGAATTTGCAGCCAGCCTGGGCTACATAATGAGTTCAAAGCCAGCCTCAACTACATAGCAAGACCTTGCTTCCAACAAACAAACAAACATGCAAATGGTCAATAAGCACAGGAAAAGATGCTCAAGATTACTATCATGAGGGAAATGCACGAGATAGCACCTCAGCCTCAGCCTCATCAGGACAAAAACTTGATATCAAGAAATAAAAGAAAAGAAAGTAACACACTTTTATACACTGTTGGTAGGAACATAAAGTGGTGTCACTGCGGTGGAAAATAGAATGGCAGCCGTTCAAAAAATTAAAAATAGAATTAGCACATGATTGAGCATTTTCACTTCTGGGTATACACCCGAAATAACTGGAAATGGGATTTCAAAGCGGTCCACGCTCACAGTGGTGCTATTCACAATCACTAGGCTGGGGAAGCAAGCCCGGCAGCCACGGAGACACTTGATAAGCAAACTGTGGTTCTACTTCCTTGAGGTACAGAGACGAAAGATGTACAGTGGCTGGCAGGAGCTGGAAAGGGAAGAATGGAAGTGATTATTTAACAAGAATAAAGTCTGCAAGATAAAAAGGGCTCTGGAGATGGATATGGGCTTTGACTCTGGTACCATAACATTACCAATATACAGACCACTAACCTATGTGCTTAATGTGTAAGATGAAGCCAGGTGCGGGGGCTGTAATCCCATACACCTGATTATAGATTGCACACTTGTAATCCCAGCCACTGGGAGGCTGAGGCAGGAGAACTTTTAATCTGAGGCTAGAATGGGCAACATAGTGATTCTGTCTCAAAATAAAAAGCAAAAAGGGCTGGGGATGTAGCTCAGCATTCTGTCCAATCTACAAAAATCTTAAAAATAAAAACATTGCTGAGCATGGTGGCACACACCTGTAATCCCAGCACTTGGGAGGCTGAGGCAGGAGGATCGCTGTGAGTTTGAGTCCAGCCTGGGGTAGCTACCTATTAAGCTCCAGGTCAGTCTCAACTATGAGCATGGTCACACACCTGTAATCCCAGCACTTGGGAGGCTGAGGCAGGAGGATCGCTGTGAGTTTGAGTCCAGCCTGGGGTAGCTACCTATTAAGCTCCAGGTCAGTCTCAACTAGCTAGTGAGACCCTGTCTCAAAAAACCAAAGAAGCTACATGCACCAACATAAATGAATCGCAAAAGATGTATTTATTGAGAAAAAAAGCCACTTCTGGTAGAGAATGATGCAAACTGTATGATTCTTTTTATGTGATGGTTTTAAAAGACCATGAAATGCTGCCCCTGAAAGCATTTTTACATTGAAAAATGTCAAAGCAAGCACGGGTTTATATTCTTCTGATTCTTTTTTTTTTTTCTTTTGGTGCCGGAGATCAAACTTCAGACCTTGCGTTTGCGAGGCAGGCGGTGGAACCACTGAGCTAAATCCGTGAGGCTGCTGTTTGTGGGTGTGCTTTGCATTTCGGGGATTACCACGGTAGGTTTGTGTGTGCACTTGATCCTGAGACCCATTAGTACCTCCATACCAGCTGGGCAGGAACTCGAAAGACTGGGAGTTGGCAAATCGATGTGGCACAGACTGGGGCTGCAGGAAGAAGTGCTCAAAAGGGCGGGTTGGTATCTGAGAGTCAGGACTGGGTGATACCGGGCTGCTCCCGATATTGATCGGGCCCAAGGGAAGAGTGCAAGGGAGATACAGGTGCTACAGGTCTAGATGACCGCACACTCAAAACCCAACTTCTAAGCTGGGCTTGGTGCTGTGCACCTGTAATCTCAGCACTCAGATGGCTAAGGCAGGAGAAGTGTTCCGTGTTTCAGGCCAGCCTGGGCTATAATAGTGTGAGACTTGGTCTCAAAAGAAAAAAAACAACAGCAAAAAAATATGGTCTAGTTCCTCACTTTAACACACATAGCTTTATACCAACGAAACACACACTTTCATGACAATGTAATTAAAAAATCATAAAGCTGTAGTTTTTATATGACTGAAAGCCAGGAAAATAGTAACGATAACTGAATGTAATTGTTATTTATTGCAGATAGAAAACCAATGAAATAAGTATTAATTAATTTCAATTTTCTTGCTTTCCCCCTTTCTTATGCCTAAGATATATTACTTGTTTTCTATGACCTTTTTCCATATTATAACTAATTAAACTGAGTATATTTCATATCTACTAAATATGCTATTTCTGAATTCTTTCTTTAAATTCATTAAAATAATAATTTCTTAGTGGTTCCACCACCTGCCTCGGAAGCACAAATATCCAAGTTCGAGCCTGGATTTTTTTTTTTTTTTTTTTTTTTTGTACTGGGGATCAAACTCTGGTCCTTGCACTTGCGAGGCAGGCACCACTGAGCTAAATCCCTGGCCCCCCTTCAATATATTTTTAAAATACATATCACAAGTTGTAAATTTTTTGCATCATATAATTTCTATGAAAACTAGAAGTATCCTTGTTTTCTATAAATATTGAGTTGCTATTGCCAGAAAAAGAATCTTTATGCTCGGTTACAATACTCATCACTAATATTATTTTATGAGAATATCCTATATCACATAAAAACATCATTTATCTTTACTGTTCAGTATTGTTTGGTTTTGTGGTTTATCTAAGCATTTAAAATTTATTTATAATAATTGCATTTATATTGTTGCACATAATGTTGTTTCACTTAAAAATAAATAACAGCAAAACCAAGAAGAACTGTACATGTGTTTCCAAACACAAATACCTTGCTTGGTTAAAGCTATTCTTAAAAGATTAGTTGTAAAACTCTGTCATAGTACTAGCAAAATACGTACCCACGATACAAAAACATATAAAAGCTCTTTTTTTTTACAATTTATTTCTCCATCTAAAATAATGTTGGTGTAAAATTAAATAGTAAATTTTCTGCCATTTTCACGCAATGGAAAATTGTAATCATTAATTGGAATTGGATTCCGTTTTGCTAGAAATATATTCATGGGTTAGAAGGAGATGATAAGCATTTTTCAGGCTCACTTTCCAATAAGTATAGTAAAGCTTGATTTTCTCATTCAATTGCAGCTTTTCTAAATGCAGTTTTCTTCCTATGCTAATGGACAGGTCAGAGTTGCTTTTGGTTTCCTGAGTTATGAATTTCTTATGAATAATTTTTTTGTTCTCATCAATAATCAAGTCTCCATTTAGCGAATATGAAGCTGCAGAGATTTCATCTGATCTTTTCAAAAGTTGTGAGTCTGGAGACTTTTTTGTTCATTTTAATATGATTAGTAATTAATTCTTATTAAATAAAGAATTTGTAAAGTCCCATTTGCAAATTTTAGGGGGATCATATTGGCAAAAGTCTGCTCACTTTCATTGCTTTTGGTCTTTAGAAATTGAAGCAGCCTGTTCTCCCTCTCCTTGCCCTGCAGGCTTTTTCTCTGAGCAGCACTGTTGTATTTTCTCTCTCAGTGATGATCCTGACTGATAACTAGCTTTCAAAATCATTTGAATAAAGTTGAAATTTCATCTACATTTCTCAAAGCTTAAATCCTAGCTTCTTAGTATTTTTATAGAAAATTCCAATTCTCAACAGGTATGAAGGCACACATCTGTAGTCTCAGCTACTTGGGAGGCTGAAACGGGGATTGCAAATTCAAGGCCAGACTGGCCACTGTGAAAGGCTCTCTCAAAATAAAAAATAAAGCCGGGTGTGGTGGCGCATGCCTGTAATCCCAGCACTTGGGAGGCTGAGGCAGGAGGATCGCTGTGAGTTCAAGACCAGCCTGGGCTACATAGTGAGTTCCAGCTCAGTCTTGACTACATAGTGAGACCCTGTCTCAAAAAACCAAATAACAAAAAACAACAACAACAACAACAAAAAAAACAAACAAACAAAGAAACCTATCCAAAGTTTAACTGTTTTTTCCTTTATTAGAATTTAGCTCAGTGGTCCCACCACCTGCCTTGCAAGCACAAAGACCTGAGTTCAATCCCTGGTACAAAAATAAATAAAATAAAAATAAAAAGGGATAGGACATAGCTGAGTGGCAGAGTCCTTATCTTGCATGCATATGGTCCTGGGTTCAATCCCTAGTACTGAAAAAAGAATTATAACTCAATAGTGGTTACCAGAGCTTGCGAGGAGTGCAGGGGAGGGGAGATGAAGGAAGGGTGGGTGCAGATGTGCAGCTGTAGGAGGAATAACTTCTCAAGTTCTATAGCACAGCGGAATACCTGTGGTCGACAAGAATAACTGACTGCTTCAAAATAGCTAGCAGAGAGATGTTAAATGCTATCGACACAAAGAAATGAGAAATATCTGAGGTGACAGATATGCCAGTTACCCTGATCTGGCTGTTACAGATTTACACAAATATTGAGAGGTCACACTGCACCCTATAAATATGTGCTATTACTACGTGCCAAATGAAATTTTAAAAATACATTTTAAAGGTTCATAATGTGAACTGGGGGTGTTGTTCAGGGGTGGAGTGCTTGCCTAGCATGCTTGAACCCTGGGTTCATCCACACCACACACACACACACACACACACACACACACACACACACACTATTCGAATATTCAGGGCACCTCTGTTGCCACTGTATTTGTCCATTTAATTCCCAATTCAGATCATGCTGCAAGAATGATGAATATATATATATATATATATACACACACACACACACACACACATACACACACACACACACACACAAATGTAACAGTAACATGAATTGTTTGACCTTACAAAATACTCTTCAGCTGTCTTGCAACTGTTGCAAATACCCAAACCCTACACCCTGGAGGCACCACAGTATGTTGCAGAAGAATCTACTGCGCCAGCTAGTGAGAGGAAGGATCTGACAAGTGAAAGATTTCGTTGTTTTTTGTTTACCTGAGCTCAAACTCAGGACCTTGCACTTTCAAGGCAGGTGGGAACACCACTGAACTAAACCCCCTGCCCAAGAATTAGTCCTTTTTTCTTAAGAGCCCCCTCCTCCTGTGCTCCAAAGCAGCGTCTACGTCTGGGTTAGCAGCAGCACCACTAACAAGGCCTTGTGACATTTTTGGTTCATTCGTTTCCAGGACACAGAGCTAAAAATGTAGAAAAGCAGAATTTGGGGATATGAATGATGTTAAGTCATGAGAACAGATGTTCAGTTTATGGCTCTGATGCGACAGCAGTGCCAAACCCCAGGAACTAGCCACCGATGTTCCTTCATATGCAAATCTGCTGTGCTTGTTACATGTGGGGTCCTCCAAGGCGTGGCGTCCTGCTCTTCTGGAGCAAGGGCAGTGGTCCTTCTGGACGCTGTCTCCGGACTAGTGACAGACCTAAGGAGAGTAGGATCCCTGCAGGCCAGAGAGCAGGGACAGGAGCTATGCTCGGTGGGGCAGAGGTACTTCTACCAGGAGGCTGGTGAAAATGAAGCTTCAAAGTCCCCCCTTTGCGCGGTTGCTCCAAGCTCCAAGCCCAATTCTGTGTTGTTTTTCCAAGGTACCAGGGAAGGGTCCCCTTTGCCTGTCCTGGAAGACTCAACAGGAGCTAAAGGCTTATGAGCTGGAGATAGAAAGCCTGGGCCAACCACTGTGGCCCTAATAGAAGTGCAGTGCAAGTTATACAGGTAAAGTTTTCCAGTGGAGACAATGACGTGAGTAAAAATACATAGGTGAAACTTTGATGATATAATCCTCTTACCCCAATGTATCTAAAATACTCAGCCTTTAAAATGTAGTGTATTTTATCCTGAATCTTGATTCAGACCAGACCCCTTCCAAGGGCTCAATAGCTACAAGGTCCTAGAGGTTACCACCGTGGGCTGCACAACTCTACACAACGCAGTCTCCACCTTCCAGGAAATGCCGGCTGGGAGCTTTCTCAGTGTCCTATCACTGCTATAACAAATCGCTCCAAGTTTATGGCATAAAACGACGCACAGTTATTCTCCCCTGTTCGTCCCCAGGACCACCTTGAGGATGGGAGCTTCCTTCTGAAGATGATGTCCGGTCTCTTCCAGCACTGAAGGCTGCCCACACGCAGCAGCTCAAAGCCCCGCACCAGGCCCACCTCTGTTTCTGTGGTCAGGTCTCTTTCTCCAAGCTGGACTTTCCTGTGTTCTGCTCATAAGGATCTTTGTGGTGATGTGAGGCCCACACAGTAGCACAAAAGAACCACCCCATCCCGAGACCCTCAGTTTGATGAGTCTCAGCAAGTCCCCTTACCATCCCCACATCCGGGGCGTAAGAGGCAGGCATTGTTGGGGGGGTGTTATTTGGCCTGCTGCAGGTGAACAGGAGGGACTGAGATGTTAGGGCTTCTAGTTAAAGTGGGACCTGGGGAAGAAGGGATGATTCAGTTTGTCCAAGGTGAGAGCTAAGGACGAGCAGAAATTCCATAGCAGGAAACTAGGAGAAGCTGAAGGTTTTAACTCTTGGGAGGAAATCGGCTCCAGGATTATCTCAATGACCAGGCTCTTTTCATTCTTTTTCTTTTTTTTTTCCTTTCTTTTCTCCCCCTCTCCCTCCCTCCTTTCTCTCCCTCCCTCTCTCCCTTTTTGTCATTTGGAGATCCTGTCACAGTTACCAGTCCTAGAACAGAGCTTCTCCAGAGATCATACCCATTCCACAGCCTCAGGTCCCCCTGACCCACATCCTCTACCACCCATGCACACAACCTCAGAGCACAGCCAGAGGCTCAACTCTGATGCATGCCAAGTAGTAGGGTTTTTTTGTTTTGTTTTGTTTTGGGTGGGTACTGGGGCTCAAACTCAGGTCCTGTGCTTGAGAGGCAGGAAGCAGAACCACTAAGCTAAATCCCTGGCCCTGCATGCCAAGTAGTAGTGGATCATTTAAACACTAAAACATTCATGGAATAAAAAAAAGTAAATACATTGCATTTCCTCATAGGGATACTACAGAAATGAGGCAGTATGTTGCTAGCTAAGGACTCCGCACTAAATAAGTAAAATATATGTTCTAAGAAAAAGATTATAAAAGATTAATCATGACAATAAAAGAATGTAGCTCCAACTTCCATAACCAGGCTTTTTTTTTGGGGGGTGCCAGGGATCAAACTTAGGACCTTGATCTTGTGAGGCAGGTGGTAGCACCATTGAGGTAACCCCCAGCCCATAACCAGGCTTAAATGTACTCTAAACCATTATCGTACAGGGAGTCCAACGAACCGTACAGCATAGAAAGGTACCACTGGGGACCAGGGATGTAGCTCAGGTGCTGCACTTGCCTCACAAGTACAAGGTCCTGAGTTAAGTCCCCAGTATCACTAAAAAAAAAAAAAAAAAAAAAAAAAAA